TCGGGAGTTACTTATGTAATAATCGTATAGTAGTTCATAAAATAAATAGAAGCAGGATCGCTTAAATTCAAAAAAAATATATAAATATTGTATTTGTTATATAATTTTTATTTATCTAGTATAAGCTATAATAGTATATTTTATAAAAAACACTTTGTTTTTTTCATATCTTTTTTTCTTTTCTTCTATCAAATTGTTTAGTTTTTTTTTAAATTTTTTTTTATTTTGTCTTAGACTATAGCTTTTTTCTCTTTTTTACTCTTTTTTTTTATATATTAGTTTCTTTTTTCTTTTTTTTCTTTAGTAAATATAGATTAGAAATAGTTATTTGCTAAGATCTAGATAAAGTTTTAAAGAAAAGCTTAGGCTTTTTAATAAAACCTTTAGTTTTATATAAGTTATACAAGCTTATATATTAAGTAATATTAAACTTTGAGATTAAAATTAAAATTTTATAACTTAGTTTATAAATATTCTTAATAATGTTTTAGCAAGACTATCTAGGTTTAAAATATATATATATATATCTAATTAGGGTCTTTATGTATAATTTTAGCTTTTTATACTTCTTTTCTTCTAAAAAATTATCTAATTTTTGTTATTTTTTTTAATAAAGTAATTTTGAGTTTTCTATTTATTTATTTATATAGTATTAATTATTTACTTTAAATTATACTCTAAACTTATATTTATATTAGTTTTGATTTTTAGTTTTACTTTATATTTAGAGTTAAAACTAACTATAAAATATTTATTTGTTGCTAACTTATTGTTTTTATAAAATTTAGTATTTAGACTTGAACTTGTTTTTTGTTTTTTTCTAACCTATATCTTTAGTTTTTTTAAATTACTAATTTAGTTAATTTATCGCTGTTTTCGAAATGGTTGAAAATATAGAATTTTTTTTGAGTATACTCGTATATTGCGTATACTCGTATGTCGGATTACCTTAGCACGTTGATTGAAGATCGATGTTTGATTACTTACGTATGTACTTATTGTTTGAAACAATAAGTAAATCAAACATCGATCTTCAATCAATATGTCAATATGGTAAGGCAGCATACGAGTATATGCAGTATACTCGTATACCAGAAAAAAATTTTTTTTACTCATTTCTACTATTTCGAAAACCGCGAGAATAAAATTGATTTGTTTAGATTTTAGATACTTAATAATCTCTTTTTTCTTAATATATGTATTTAATATATATTCTTTTTTTAAATTAACTTTGATAGCTAGATTGATAAGTTTTTTTAAAAAATCTTTATTGTTCAATTTAATTTCTAGTTTAATTTGCTTTTGTCTTATAGTACTATTAAAAATTTTTTTACTTCTTTGCTTAGATTTTGCTTAGCTAGTTTTAAATTCTAAAAATATACAATATTTGTAAATATTTAATTTGTGTAAAAAACATAATTTTTATTGCTATTAAATACTGTATTACTACATTTGTATTACATTAAAAAACAAATTATAATCAATAATAAAATAATCAAATAAATAAATAAATAAATAAATAATGTTACAATGCAAATTGCATTAAAGCAATAAAGGTTTATTTTTTATTATACAGCAATTAATTGCACAAAAGCCTAGACTTGAATTTGTATGAAAAAATAATATTAGGCGATCCAGTTAAAATTGTAGTTAAGAACGATTCTATAATATATAGATGCCCAAATTTAGTATAATGTTTTAATTTCGAAATATTGCTGCTTAAGAAACATGCCATAAAAAATTTGGAGTTCATTTTAAATGGTTTTACAACATTTTCGACATGAATATTTTAACAAGTTAGAATAATTATATTTTTAAGAAGCGAAAGGTTATTTTAATGAGAGCATTTTCGAAGATCCGAGGCATAATTCAATTATGAGAATAAACAATAACTCCAAATCCAACAGGTTGGAATATGTATAATAATTATTGTCAGAAATGAGGTGATACGTACGTACTTATGTACTGTATCAGGTATATACCTTAGAATTTGAAACTAAATCACTGGTTTTGGTAGTGTTTATAGATAACAAAATTTTAACGGTAAAGATTTCTGTTTTGTTTTTTTAAAAAAAAAAATGTCTCTCAATATATATATGTAGCTTGACAGTATTGCCACGCAACAATTCTTGGTATATTGACGTAAATTATTTATTCTTGCAAACTGTAAACACTATAGTGTCCTGGCGTAAAGAATGGTTGTATAATGTATGTTTATGCATGTCTGGCGTAAACAGGATAACCGCCAAGAATCTCGTTATATAATTAAATGTTTTGTTTATCTCAGATCGATTATTATTTTGAGACATTCATCACAAGTTCATGCCTAGCCAACACATACAAGAAACAAGTATTGTCCTCTAAACGAAAACGTTTAATACTATCAGGTTTAAAAGGTTACACTATTGCGTAACAGAAATAAGCATAACATACGGGAATGCACTGTCTACCCAGAAAGGAATGTTGTATCTGGATGACGAGTAAGGTCCGACAATAACAAACAAGAGATTTTGTGGAGTCTTTTTTTTTCATAGACGCATTTGTAACCTGTCCCGGTACTTGATAACCAAAAGTGGTTGTTCGATTGTGGACTGGATGCCTACAAATCAATGTCTATAATTAGAATAAATTGACTTGATTTGATAGATCTATGCATGACGAATATTATTAATTTGTCATTAATGTTGAATTTACGTAGTAAGTCCTCGAAGTAAATCGATAATGATTTCCGATCACACATGGGTATCATGAGTGTCACGAAAGTCATAAAAATAATAAACAAATAGTGAAAGAAACAACAGTAACAACCTTCCTTTTTAGTAAATCCTGATTTCGATAACATGAAATTTTAATACAATAAATACTGTAATAATTTTAATAATTTAATAAGTAAGCAACTGAAATTACCAAACATATAAATAAATAATTAGTTTATAGAATTTTAGTTACCTTTCGGGAAAATTGCAAGAATAAATCCGTTTAAATAAGTTCATTAATTCATTTAATCGTTTTCTATTTTTGATTAGAACAGGATTTAACATACTTTGTGATTCCTATTAAAATGAAATGAAATGAAATCAAATTACACCTTCACTTACTTTCTTTAACAATTCATTATTAACAAAGAATTGAAGAAAGTAAATAAATAAATAAATAACTTTCGCGTTTGTTTATCGTCAATATCTAGTTATTATGCAATACTTTTTTTTGTTCAGAAGAATAGAAGAATAGGTTATTATCAATCACTTTCTTATGGTTAGACGCTTATTGCATAATAGGTAACCGATAATTCGGTGGCGAATTATACAAATTTAGAAGTATCTGTGAATACCATACTGACGCCTCTTAAACCTTGGAAATTTCGAAACCATTTAATTAATCAAGGTATAGTTCATCGTACGCCTCCTTTATCTTCCCGATTTGGTCTTTATGCGTAGACCAATGGTTAAAGCGGGTTTATGCACGTACGTAAATGCACATCGATCTGTAAGTTTCATAAAATAATGTGTAAGAATGTGTTCGACATAATATACATAATATATGAAAATGTGTTCTTACATGCAGAATTTATCAAAATTTTCATACGAAGCGTTTTCGCCGTTGCTTCGCACGGCTAACTTTTTGTGTATAAAGATGGTACGACTCCGACTCCGAACCTGAGTTCGACAAAATATTTCTAAAAATAGCTACTAAAAGTAGCCAGAAATAAGTCCCATGCTAAACATAGTATTGTTTATTTACTAGTGTTACCTTGAAAAAAAAAAAAAAAAAAACACCTGATACTTATTGAATTACCGTTCAGTTTAACTCGCATCTTAGTATATAAAATTTTTTTTTTTCTTCACATATGCAAGATATCGGATATTTCTAAAAAAATATGTGGTGCAAATTGATGAACAAACAATCCGTGATTTTATAAAAGGAGCTTACGAGTAGCTTTATGCACTTTAACGTGTTTAATTTGTTCTTCCACCTCCCGGCTTTACCTTCTTTATGAGTATATGAGTAACGATTATAGTCATATTTTATTATAGTGACTTTTTAAGACAATATGATGATGACACAGCCCAGAAAACAATCAAGGAAGCGTGTTGATACTCAAAAGAAGAACGGTCCTATGCAGCGCGGCCAACAAAAAATCAAACTTTTAATGAATAAACCGCGTGGTGTTTTACCACCTTTCCCGCTTCCTTATCCTCCCCAAGTACAACTTCAAAAAATGGTGGCTAAACTTGCATCAAAACCAAAGCTAGCGAGGTTTCCTAATGCATTTATAATGTACAGGAATGAATACGTTCAATTTTTGAAGGCCAAAGGTCTTCATCTTTCAATGACTGAATTATCTCCAATGATTGCAGCCGCTTGGAGGCAAGAACCAGAATATGTTAAGGATGCTTATACTCGACTTTCAGGCGATGCTGAAAAATTATATGTTCGAATGGCCGCGAATGTGCAACCAGAAATTAAATATAAATTTCCAGCGCAACGTCATCCAACTTTTAATGATTATACAAATGAAGAATCTACTACTACTATCATTCAACGCAAGGAAAATGAAAGATCTAATGACAACGTTATCAAATTTGGAAATAGCTTTGCATCTGAATACTCTCACCTTCTTCATTCATCGTCTATTCCTGATTTGAAAGGGTTTCCTCGTGATGTAAATAATGATTCTAATTCGAGGACTTTCTTGGATCGTTCGTCATCAACCTATGATGGTAGAGATCTTTCTGTTATCAATGCAACAATGAATGCGCAAAATTTTGATCCATCCTACATGAAGCAAGAAAATTGTTTTATTCAGGAAGCTCCTTACATTCCTTACTCACAAATTCCTAATCTTAGCCCATCATCGTCTCGATCTTCATCGACCGATTCATTATTATGTGGTGAAATTAGGTTTCCATCATCTGAAGAATTAATTCTCGGATCTTTGCCATCACCTGCTTTGACGACTCCTTGTTCAGAAATTTCTTTCCCATTTTCATCACCACCTTGTATTAATTGCAGTAGACATTATTATGATCAACAAAATTTTACTGCATCATTCGATAATGAATCATCTCCTGTACAATCGTCTGATTTTTATCCGCTTTCACCCGTATCACCTACTTTGACATTTGATGAATCACCTATGCAATCGCCGACATTTAACGATTTTGATATCACGACAGATCTGTACTATGTGATAGATTCTGCACTCTCCTTTGATCCTTATGGGATCCCCACTTCCAGAAGCGTTTAAAAACACGTGATTTGATGACTCTTTATTTACACATTTTGGATGATTTTGTTTATATTGTCTGATATCATTTCTTAGATACTTTGATTCACATGGAGAAAAGTGTTATCTCATTTTTCTTGTAAATACTCTCGTTTAAATTTTTTTTTATTTTTTATTCGATTGCAAGAAAGAAATTTACATAATTCTAGATATCATATAAAAAAAAAAATCTTATATATCTAGATAGCTTAGAAAATAATTACCAAATTCCTATCACAAAACCCCCACAAAAAAATATGGTAAAAAATATTTTATGTTATGATTCTTCTTAGGTAGTACGGAACCTTAAGGATCATCGGATCCTGAATTAAAAAAAAAAAAAATGAAAAAAAAACTCCGTAAAAAAGAGTAGCTCTTCGAAAAAAAATATATTTTCTTTAAAAAGAAAAAGAAAAAAAAAAAAAAACCAAAAAAAGAAAAAACGCAAAGGGCAAAATCGAAATTAGGGCTTATAAACAGTACAGTGTTTTTTTTTTTATTTGGGTGTTTTTTTTTTTTCAATTTTCTTTTTTTTCTATATGTATATTTTTTTTTTTTTTTTTAGCGAATTTTTTTTTTGGGTTTTTTTGGAGTTTTTTTTTTTAAAAGGTTCATGTCTTAATTATTTTTTTTTTATAAGGAATTTTTTTTTTTGGAAATAATAAAAGGAAATAAATATGGTTTTTTAAAGGTCATATTGAATGTGTGTGTGTGTGCTTGTGAGTATGTGTCATGTGTGATATTTAAGGTTAAGGTTTGAGAATTAGGTATTTTGGTTTTTTGAAACGCGAAATTTGAGAATTAGGTATCTTGGTCTTTTGAAACGCGAAATATACATGAAATATGCATCATAGTCGAAGAGGGCGCGACGTGAGATACTTGAAAAGGTAATGTCCGTTTTGTAGGCAAAATTGGTGGGTTACCGAACCAGAGTTATTCGCGGATTTTTTTCGTAAGTCTTTTCGTGATATTTTTACGGACATCCTTCTTATTTTTTTTTCGTTGCCGGTGCACTTGGGAGTGCACAAATGTATCTTAGGAAAGATCTTAGGAAAGAAAAGATTATTATTTATGTATATTTAAGAAATCCTCAACTCGATCTCGATCAATGAGCGCGCGTTTACCACTTGAAAGTTTAGATAATAATATTTTTATATTTTTTAATGTGGCTGTGCATATATGATGGCTGTGTGTGTCGGATATCAGTTTTTTATTTCATTAATTATATAATTAATCCATCCGGTATCGTATCCAGCGTATGGGTCTATTGAAAATTGAAAATTTCACGATTACTTTCATAGTCATTTCATTTAGAGTTGGCAAGATCCAGTTTCTATACAATTACCACATTTACAAACAAAATGCTAATTTCATTCAACATGGACACGTTGCAATTTTTTTTTGAATAATTTATTATTTATTGCTACAGGTTCTACTTTGAATCATTGTCATTCAGCGATTAAGAACTTGTGTTTATTATTTTACTATCAAAAAGGTAAAATTCCCGAAAATATCAAGAATGTAAGACGGATTAACGAAGAAAATGAATTTCTTTTTTCTCTCTTTTTTTTTTTTTTTTTTTCTCTCGAAACCTTCGATCTTATATCTAATTAGACTATGATCTTCCATTTTGTGGATTATATAAATTACTATGTTCCCTCAAATTGTATCTTTTCAATATATCTTCAAAAGTCAAAGATTTTTAATTAATTTCTCTCACTGGTTTGAATCTAATATCTTTATTGTTACAAACTTATTAATCGCAAAATAGGATCTATTTTATTGGCAGTGCTTTGGTTCCTGTTATTTACAGGTTCTTCGACATTTGTTATCTAACCTTCTTAAATGTCTTGTTATTAATTTTTGCCTTCTGGTTTGCTAAATTTGTATCTCGTGATCGAAATGTTTCAAAAATGTTTCAATTTTCGTTACTTTTTGTGGTCGACTAATATTACTCGTTCTACGATACTTTCTAAATAAATAGTATCTATTTGAATATCAGTCTATGTAATATAAATGTAATATAAAACGCGGAATAGATCAATCTCATATATATGATGATTTCTATTATCTCTATTATTTCTATTATCTCTATCATCTCTATCATCTCTATTACTGCATTACCTCTGCACTTTTTTTTTAAAAAATCAGGTTGGATATCAGCAGTTATGTGCTTTGGACATCAGAAATAACGAATGCAGTTTTGCTTTAAGAGAAAAATGTTAACCAAGAAGCGTAGATATAGAAAAGATCGAAGAAAATAAAAATACCCTATCACGAAATATATTTCCTGAAAGTTGCCGCTACAGTATAAGGCTGCGGACGATATATCATTTAAGTAATCTTTACAGAGTTTCCAGCTATTTCTAGCATCTAAAATAGCGCTAGTAATATTAAGACAACCACATAACCAAATTCAACCTAAATTGCTTTACTTTAATTCTATATGTTTATAGAATAAAAAATAAGATTTTATCGAATTTAGTTGGTTGTTTTCATGATACCGTTAGTGCTATTTTAGATGCTAGAAATAGCTGGACACTTTACTCCTTTAGTTATTTTATAAGTTTGATGCACTCGAGTAAAAATAATCCATTCGCTAAATATTCCAGTATTTCTGGATCAAATCCATCTTTTTTTATTGCGCCTTGAATTCTTAATGCTGTAATGCTAAAGAATAAACGCTCGTCACTTGAGAAAAGTAATTATGCGTGAATTACATCAGATACTAAAAAATAAACGTGACTCAAAAAGACTCCAAAAGACTCAAAAGACCGATTTATTGACTGATTTGTTAGAAGTAAGGGTGTTTCAAATATTAATATCAGGTTAATGACGATAATTGACATCATAACTTATTATATATAATGATAAATAAAAAATGCATTAAATAAATGCAACGGTCTTTTTCTTCCTTTTTTGTTTTTTCTCTGTGTGATAATATAAAAGTTGTAAAACAATAAAAAATATATACACTTTTAATATATACGAGGGGCCGAGTTTTAGTTTAAGGGTTTTATTTTACGATTAATTCCAAATCTAAACATTCTTGGTTACTTCAAATCCATCAAAATAACATTAAAAAAAAATCAGGGTTCAAGATCGTCGCAAACATTATAATAAATTCTTTGACATGGGTATCATGATAATTACGTAAGAATTTAACATTAACCATATCGGTATTATTTAAGTAATATAAATGACTCGAATACCTTGCTCACAACAAATCCAGTCTTTTTCGCGACCAAAAAAAACGACACAACTGTTTAAATGTTTCCAAATATTGTTAAAATACTGTCCATACCCATACAATAACTATCACGTGAAAAAGACAATGGCGTAATATACGTAACACAAATTCAATCAAAATATAATGTTATTGGTTTAAAAAGTTCCGAGAAAATGTTGCATCTCGACTATCCTTTGTTAATTTCTTTCGTGTTACGTGACCAATGCGTGGTTACCGAGTTTCTTTAGAGCGATTACAGATCTCACTTTAATTGACAACTACAATATAGAAAAATGGTTTCATATGAACCAAAGAATGGTCGCCAAGAGGGCTCATATATAGGGACACCAGCATGCTTTGATAGTTATGCTGCATATAGGGCTCCTCCCACAACGAAGCCTAGAAGTCCGTCTCAAATTTCTGATCGAGTCATGTTTAGTCGGTATCCGCAGAATTTATCACAATTCTCTTACAATACTCATAATAACCATTCTATTTACAAAAGATCAATGACAAATAATAGTGTGTTTCCTTATTTTCTTTTTGTGCATTTTTACAATTTCGTAAATTTTCGTGATTTTTCTTCTAGTTTCTAGTTATATTCATTATAATAATATACTTTGAGACCTTATATAGACGTATGCATATCCAGAAAAATTCACAAAATATTATTCTCAACTTTTTTTTAAATTAGGTACTACTTCTGATCATATTTATTCCGATCCCGAAAACGTTCGTGAAGGCTCTAGATCAAAAAATTATCGCAATGTCCGCTCATTCACTATCCCCGATCCGTCAATACAATCATCTGATTCGGGAATATCAAGTGCTCCTTCATCACCTTCTAAAGTAGTAAAACAACAATTTTCTGTTGTTAATCCTGCTTTACTATCAAAGGTTTCAGATTCATTTCGAGCCCGGATTACTCTTTCAAATAGAATGAAGAATAATCTTGAATATAAAGATTGCTTTGATGGAAGAGAGGCTGTGGTATTGTTTCATTGCTGTATATAAATTTTGTTAGAATTTTAGATATGAGTTTCATTATTTTTTTTTTCTATTATATTATTATCCTAAATTTATTATTCTAATTTCTATTTTAAAGGATAAGATCGCCTTTATAATAAAGACTACTGATAGGAATTTAGCTTTATTACTTGGTCGTGCTTTAGACTTTCAAAAATTTTTTCACGATGTAACTTATGAACATCGACTTCGTGATTCTCAGAATGAATTATATCAACTTAAAAAAATGCCTTCAATTTTATCATCAAGTGATAATTATGAAGATTCTGAAGAGAATGACTTACCAACTGGGGTATTTACATTATTAACCGATTGTTACTCTCCTACGTGTTCAAGAGATAATTTATGCTACAGCATTGCTTGTCCTAGAAGATTGGAACAGGCAAGTATTTATATAATTTTCACTTGGATCTAACTGTAATTTGATAATTTTGAAAATTTTAATAATATTAATATAGCATGCAAGAAAACATAGGATGCCAAATCAAGATCTTAACCGTTCATCAAGTCGCGGTTCTATGTCTGATAGAAGAAAGGTAATTATGATTTTTCAAAAATTTATCCCTACTTCTATTATTATTAAATTTTTCTTAAAAAATTTTTACAAAGGATCAACCATTATGGGCCCTTACCGTTCCTCCTGAAATTGCTAATTCCGTTTCAGAAACGGAAAAGAAACGCCAAGAAGCTATAAATGAATTAATTTATACTGAAAAGGATTTTGTTAATGATTTAGTGTATCTAAGAGATGTATGTTATATATGCATATAATTTGGATTTTATATTATTTTTTGTTTCTATATTAACTCTATCTATAATGATCTTTAGTGTTGGATGTTACCTCTTTTATCTCAAAATATAATTATTGAATTTCGGCGTGAGAAATTTGTATTTGATGTTTTTTATAACATTTTGGATATTCATTCTATTAATTCTAAACTCGGGGATGCACTCCAAAAACGGCAAATTTCATATGCAATTGTTGAGCAAATCGGAGATATCCTTTTAGAATATGTTCCAAAGTTTAGTCCTTTTATAGAATATGGTGCACATCAATTATGGGGGAAATATTATTTTGAAAATGAAAAGAATAATAATCCAGCATTCGCAAAATTTGTTGAGGTAATAATAATGAATTACCTACATCCCTTATTTAATTAAATACTAAAAAAATATTTTACATGAATATTTTTATTTCAGGATACTGAACGTCTTCCAGAATCAAGAAAATTGGAGCTTAATGGTTATCTAACAAAGCCTACAACTCGCCTTGGTCGATATCCATTACTCCTTGAAGCTATTCTTAAACAAACGCCCAATGGTCATCCAGATAAAACTAGTTTACCAGTGGTAATAAGCCTTATTAAGGAATTTTTATCAAAGGTTAATACAGAATCTGGAAAATCAGAAAATCGGTTTAATCTACAACAATTAAATGATCAATTAATTTCTAATGGAAGCGAAAATATTGTATGTAATCCTTTAAATATTTTATACATGTTTTTGTTCTTTAATTGTATCCAGAGCTAAATGTAACTTTTTAGGATTTGAAATTGACAGAGGAAGGACGTCAGCTTATCTTCAAGGGTTCATTAAAAAAATCTAATGAGTCATCTGATATACAAGTATTTCTATTTGACCATGCTTTATTAATGGTGAAAATTAAAATTGTGAATAAAGTTGAACAATATAAAATTTACCGCAGGGTAAAAATCTTTTTAATTGAATAAAATTTGGTTTGATCATGCACACTTTTTTTTTAACTTGACAATATTCTTTTTTTTTATAGCCAATTCCTATTGAATTATTGAGAGTCTCAACAGAAGAGAGTTATCCTGAATGCAGTCGTTATAGTCCGAAGCGGACACATTCGCTCTTGCCGGGAAAGTCACCGACAACTAACCGTGGAGGTAGTAACCATAGATATCCAATAGCTTTTAGTTATCTTGGAAAAAAGGGTTTTACAGAAAATTTATACGCATTGACGTTGGTTAGTCGTAGAAGGTGGATCGAGCTTATAACAAAACAAAGAGAGATTATTGATAAAAATAAATCGTTTGAGAAAACTATTTTGATAGAAAAAGGTCAATTTTCCGATTAATTGTGCTATCAATAAATAAATAAATAAAATAAAATAAATAAATAAAAATAAAATAAATAAATAAATAAATAAATAAAAATAAATAAATGAGCAAAAATAGCATTACTATAAGAAATTGATTGATTTGATTGATTTTATCTAACATTAAAAAAAATTCATCTCAACCATTTTCATATAGATAACTAGGAAACCGAGGAGCGTAAATAAATTAATAGATAATAAATCAGTACTCATAACAAAAAAATTTTAAAAGTGATCCGGCAAACCAGCTTTTAATTTTAAAAATATTTAAAAATTTTTTTTTACAGCTATTTTCATAATTCCTGGAACACCTGATAAAAAATTGGCCGAATGATTTTTCAGCCGATTCGATTAAGTTTGCGATTTCGACATAATAGATTCAATAAAATTCATATACAAGTTACTCTCGTTATAGTGAACTCTCAATATAGTGAAGACTAATTAAAATTTCAATATAGTGAAGTTGGACCCAAAGCCAGTCTATATAAAATTCTCTCGATATAGTGAATTTACTAATAAACTCTTGATATAGTGAATTTTTTAATTTTTATTAATGGAACCGACCACTTCACTATTTGACTTGTATATACGTAATTAAGATCAGGTACTAATATAAATATTATGAACATTTTATCTCTGGTAGAATACAGAAATATGATATTTTCAAAGCATAAATATTTAAAAAAAATTTTAGAGGCCCATCATTTCGAAAAATTACCAAACACTTAGATTTAGCATATCTTTTATAAGTCGGGTTCTTAAGCACTTTAAAAAATATGGATGTTATGACAATTTGAAGGGCTACGAACCAACTTGTATACAAATAAAGGTAATATTTATGATCTCCTTTTAACATGTACTTCGTGCAATATGTTTATTATAAAAGTCTAATTAATATATAGAGTATTTTTTATATTTCTTGTGCACCCCTCGGAGCAATTTTTATAGCCAAAATTCTCGTGATCTAATAATCGGATCTACGTAATTTTGGTACCATTCGAATCAGCTTGCCAAAACGATTCGAATGGTACCAAAATTATGCAGATCCGATTATTAGATCACGAGAATTTTGACTATAAAAATTGCTCCAAGGGGTGCTTAATTTCGGAAGTATACGGTAATTCTGTAATGTTGACATTATTATTACAATGGTCTGTAGAACAGTCATTATGAAACATTACAAACTTAATTGAATCGGCTGAAAAATCATTCGGCCAATTTTTATCAAGTGTTCCAGAAATTATGAAATAGCTGTAAAATTTGTAAATTGTATGGCCTTTTTATAATTTATTTTATAACTTTCTTAGTATTTTTTAATTTAATTATATATAATTATTTTTAAATACTTTAATATATTTAATTTATCATAACATAATCTAATTCTGTGTTTAGTAAAAATAAAGCTAAAAAATCTTTACACATATACAAGTTTAAATACTATTTAAGTATTTTGCAATACTATACCACTACTATACCCAAATTTGACAATCATTTGCATGTTAGATGAATCTCTATTATCAGAATTTACTTCTGGCTTTACTCTACCCAGTTTATTCGAAAAAAAAAAACTAAAATCCCAAAGAATAATAATACTGATCTATTAACAAAAGCTTCAATAACAACAACACCAACCAAAGACTATAATACTGAGATGGCAAAATTATACCTATAAAGGTTTCAATAACAACAATAATTAAAAATAGCTTACTTATTGTTCTAACACAGCTAATCTAAAAATAAAAGGAATTAATTTTAAAAAAAAAGCCTCTAACAAATAAAAAAACTATTTAAATAAAAGCTTCCATAATAACAATAAAATTAAAAAGCAAAATCATATAGCACTAAAGCAATCTACCTAGTATTCTAACAAAGCTAAGTTTATATAAAAAAAGAAACAAAAGACAATGAAAAAAATTACTATACTTATCTCAGTTTCAATTTCTATAATTCAATATTTTAATAATACAATTTAAGAGGTATGTTTAGATAAATGCTTTAAATGCCAAATTAGAGAGATTGCTAAAGCCTTGTATTATGTAATTTTGAAGTTTTAATTATAATTAATATTAGTATAAAAATAAATATATAGATAAAATTGTCTCTTAATTATTTTTTATTAATACACCAAGACAGATTTAGATTATTATTTTTTATATTTTTAATTTTTTAGCTTTTTTAGGCTCTGTATAAACAAATTATATATTTTTATTAGTTGATTTATATATAAGTAAAAGCTTTAACAAACTTTCAATTTTTTTTTTTTTTTAATTATAAGGGTGTAGCATCTGCACTTAGACTTTATTAATACTTAAATATACAAACTATTTATCCATAGCTAAAACCCACCAGAGCCAATCATATTCCCACTACACAGCTGACCTGGATTTGTACATCCTTTCCCAACTGCCAATTAGTATTCACATGTCCGCCACATTACCCATATTACAACTTCCAAATCGATGTGTGTAGCTCTAAGTAGGTGCTTGATGCTTCCGGTTTGGTGTGCCTAACAGGGAATTACTCTCTTAGTTTCTACTAGTATACTTCCAGAAGTTCATATCTCAAGCCATGCAGCTGCCTGTACCCAATTGAGTAAGTAAACAAACCTTCAAATTAAAAAGATTATTATACAATTTATAAAGATTTTTTATACAGTTTATAATATTTTATTTGTAAGATTATAGTGGCTTATTTGTATTATGAAACATGACTTATTATTAATTAAACTTATAGCTTTTATTTTGAACTTTAATAAAGTAATAAAATTCAAGCAGATTTACAAATCTTTAAATTATGATTTATATATTATAGTACTAGATAAATTATAATATAAATATTTAATAAATTCACTTGAATCTCACTACTTTACATAAAAGCTATAAGTTTAATTAATAATAAGTCTCTATACAACATTATATAATTTTTACAGTTTTGTATAGACAAAAAAGTGCTATTATAATTGTTTTCTTTGTAGTTTTTTTTTTTTCTTTTCTCTGTTTTTTTTATTTTTTTTATTTTTTTTTGTTTTTATTTAGTTTATTTTTATTTTTATTTTTTTTTTTATATTAAATTTAGCAGTCTTGTCTTCATTTTATTAGGCTTTGTAATAATTTTCTAAACTATTAAAATTTTCTACAGAATTATACTCTATAGTACTTAAATTACAAGTAGAGACTCACCTGGTTGCTCACTGAGTATCTATGTGTGACCTGCTATAGTAAAATTTGCTTCTGTATTATCTTATCCTGCAATTGGCTTCAATAATACGTCACTAGCTAGATCTTACTGCCTATCAAGACTACATATTAGTTTTCCACCAATCTGTCTATTGTCCTTCTTTAATCTACCTTAAAATTTCTTTTTTAGTTATCTCTAAAATTAAACTTCATCTTTTATTGTCTCTTTTATTTTTATCTTTTTTCATTTTTCTTAATACGTTTATCTGATAGTTTCTTCTTCTTTTTTTCCTTTCTTGCTTTTTCATATGATTTTTTTTTATCTTTTGGTGTGATTCTATTTTCTTTCTCCCATTCTTGCACTAATTTGCATCTTGCAACTCATATTCTCTCATATACTTCCTTTATCCAATTCTTCCAAGAAGGCCCTTTGCTTGATTATTTGAGTTGAAAAGAGGTCTCAACTCATTGAAGTCTTCTTTTGTGATTAGGCCTCTAATCCATCTTTCTCTTCTATGTGATTCTTCAGTTTGGGATTCCTTTTCTAACATTGTTAAGACTTTTTCTTTCGATTTTCTACCTTTAATTCAAGCAGGGTTGCTTCTACTACTTGTTTTTATTTAGTTTAGACTTTTCTCTTTTTAGTATTCTTTTTTATTTTTTAAAATTTCTGTTGTTATTTTTTTACTTAGAAGACTAGAAGTAAAAGGTTAGAGGAAAAAAACAATCATGATAGGCTAGTAAACCATGTCAGTGATCTAAAACAAATCTTTTTAAAATAGAATAAACCAAACTGGTAAAACTAAAATCTTCTTTGGCAGGTTATAGATACTTTATAGTAACTAGGTAAATCATATTTTAATAATAAGTAATTAATTTAATAATGCAAAAATTTTGTTCTTTAGAATATCAATGAAATATTAAAATTATGACATGATTATCAAAAAAAATTAAAATAAGTCAATGTTTCATAATGCAAATAAGCTACAATAATTGCAAAAAAAGAGTATTTTTTTATTGCAGTTTTGTGCAAATTTGCAAAAAAAATTAAATAATAAATCAAATAAAAATTTGCATAAAACTTCAAATATTATAAATACTAAAATTAGATACAATTTAGTACAAAACTTCAAATTTTAAAAAATATTGCAGATTTTTTACAACAATTCTTCAAAATACAGGCTTTTGCAAATTTGCACTTATTTAATTTTCCTGATAAACCAAATTTAAAAAAAAAAAAAAAAGTTAGTTCAAAAAGAAAAATAAAAAGAATTAAAAACATGAAGAACATCTAATCTAAATTTAGAAATCTTGATAGGATTAAAATTAAAAAGACAATCAAATAACCATTATGTTTTTCAAAATAGTCTTGTAATCATGTATTATGCATACAAACAGATAAAAAATTCCAAATTACAATATTGATATATTTGGTTATAAAAACTATGTTGATGCATTAAAAAAGGTAATTTTCACGGTTAAACTGCATCAAAAATGTAACTTTTGTATTACATAGTGCATAAAAATTGACTATGCTCCAGACAATAATAATAATTTAGTAATTGGAATGGACTTTGGTGTATATATTGTTGAAATTGGTCAGACTCAAAATCCTACTTTAGTATTACAAATAGAAAAGGTTTCTCAAATTGAAATCCTGAATAAAACATTGGTTATTATTAGTATAGCTAGTAAATATAAAATTAAATGATTAAACTTTATTATTTATCACATTGTTAATATATAGTTAATATGTATATTTATATATACAGTCATACCTCTATATAATTACCCTTTTTATAA